GCCAAAAATTTGAAAAAAAAAAAAAGTTTCTTTGTTTCTATTATAAAATTTTTCAAACAGGTAATTTTTCTCCTTCACTGATGTGCGTTGATGAGGCAGCACTGATGGCCACTGATAGGCAGCACTAAAGGGCACTGATAGGCAGTACTAATGAGGTGGCACGGATAGCCGGCACTGATAGACAGCACTAATGAGGTGTCACGGATAGGCGGCACTAATATGCAGCACTGATAGGCGGCACTGATAGGTGACACTAATGATGGGTACTGATAGACGGCACTGACTGACATCACTGCTGGGCACTGACTGGCGGCACTGACTGGCACAACCGCTGGGCACTGACTGGGGTGGCACTGACTGGCAGCACTGCTGGGCTGCACTGGTGGGTGGCACTGGTGGGTGGGCACAGGTGGGTGGCACAGGTGGGCAGCTGGGCACAGGTGGGTGGCACTTCTGGGCACAGGTGTGTGAAATTGCAGAGTGGCACAGGTGGGTGCACTGCTGGGCACAGGTGGGTGGAGCTAGTGGGCGCACTGCAGGGCACAGGTGGGCGGAACATTGCGGGTGGGCACTGCTGGGCACCGATCATCAGGGCACTGATCATCAGTGCCCTGATGATCGGTGCCGATCCCCGCTCTGACAACTGCCGGTTCTCGGCAGTACTTTCCTCACGATCTGACAGCGTGAGGAAAGTGCAGCCGAGAACCAGCACTTGCATTTCCCTCTGATCAGCGTGTCATTGGACACCGCTGATCAGGTGGTAAAAGGCCGCTGTGATTGGCCTTTTACCACATCATGTGATCAGCTGTGTCCGTAGGACACAGCGATCACGGAGATCGCCGGGTGCGCGCCCCCTGGGGCGCGCAGGAGAGCACGTTCTGGGGGGACGTCATATGACGTCCACTCAGAACTGGCTGGCCGCAGTGCAGCCGTCATTCGGCTATCTGCGGTCGGCAACAAGTTAAACAAAAAATTTGCATTTTTTAAAATTAGTATCAAGGTCAGTTAGTGACAGTGTGTCTACGGTAGAATTAAAAAAAACAAAATGTGCACTATTGTTTCTGGGCCTTATTACTGTACAAACAACAAATAACATACACATATGTGGTATCCCTGTGATAGTCGGGAGCAGAAGAATTTATTTTGGTTTGTTCTTTGATGATAGGTTATGATAGTGGCAAGAAAAAAAATACAACTAAATAAAAAAAATATATATTTTTTTTAAAACTATTTTGGACCAGTTTTCTTTTGACAAAAGAAAAAAAAAATAGGAGATATCCATTACCACTCACCACCAAATGAAAGACAATTTGTCCTGAAAAGAAAATATAATTCACCTGGATGCACAAAGTAGTTGCAATGAAATGTACAGTTTTGCTAACACATGTCAAAGTTGCAAATTGAGTTCAGCCATTGGGATTTGTTTTATCCTCTGTCATTAAGGGGTTAAGAATGAGCTGAATGTGTTCCTAAATGCAAAAAAACTGAACGTTGACAGACATTTATAGATAACACCAGGGGTAGTTGATCCAGAGATTATATGACTCCCTAGTGGGGGATCAGATTTTACCCCCATCGGAGCAATATGGATCATGCTTTGTTACTTTTTTTTTTTTTTTTTTACTTCCTATGAATCAACTTTGGGTATATGATTGTGTAAAAGGAGATTTTCTATTTGTTCTATAAGTTGAGCTAGATGGACTTGTGTCATTTTTCAACCTAAGTAGCTAAGGAGAAAGCATCTGCCCTCCTAGGAAACCAGTAAAAAACTGAGGCATAACAGTTCGGGTTGGTGTTATAGTGGTAGGGCCGTTAACCAATTTCTGTTCTGCCAGCATCCACCTTCTGAAGGTAGCTGCGCATAACCCACATGTATATGATTTACTACATCTTTGTGTCCATCAATGGATAAAAAAAAATTATGATCTGTATTCTGCCACACATACTCACTATGGCATAACAGGTTGAACCAGGAAATAAACTCAACTCTGCCCCTATGACTCTACAATAAAAGTAGTAAACCCCCTCTCTAGTGGTTCATTCTTTCTTCTGACCTTTAAAGAGATGCATGTAGAATTTGTTTAACCACCTGCCTACTGGGCACTTATACCCCCTTCCTGCCCAGGCCATTTTTCAGCTTTCAGCGCTGTCACACTTTGAATGACAATTGAGCGGTCATGCAACACTGTACCCGTATGAAATTTTTATAATTTTTTTGAAACAGATCGAGCTTTCTTTTGGTGGTATTTAATCTCAACTGAGTTTTTATTTTTTGCTAAACAAATAAAGAGAAAACTGAAAACTTTGAAAACAAAACTTTTTTTTTAGTTTCTGCTATAACGTTTTGTAAATACGTGATTTTTCTCCTTCACTGATGTGTGCGAATGAGGCTGCAGTGATGGGCACTGATAGGCTGCAATGATGGGCACTGATAGGCTGCAATGATGGGCACTGACAGGCAGCACTGATGAGGAGGCACTGGTAGGTGGCACTGATGAGCATGGACAGGCATCGCCGATGGGCACTGAAAGGCACACTGATAGACGGCACTGACTGGCACGGTTAGGTGGCACTGACAGATGGCACTGCTGGCAGCACTGATTTGAATTGATAGGTGGCACTGACTGGCACTGCTAGGAGGCACTGAAAGGCAGCTCAGATGGGCACTGATATGTGGCATTGATGTGCACTGGTAGGCACTCATATGTGGCACTGATGGGGCTACACTGATCATCAGGGCACACTGATCATCATTGTCCTGATGACCAGTGTACATGTCCTCTCTGAGGAATGCCGATTACCAGCTCTCCTCTCGAGCTGTCAGTGTGACAGCTCGTGAGGAGAAATGCAGATAACCAGCATTTCCTTATTTACATGCGATCAGCTGTGATTGGACACAGCTGATCACATAATAAGAGCTGACGTCTTCGGCTCTTTCCATTGATCTGCTGTGTCGGAGGGACACAGTGCACCACTGATCGCCACACTGCACACCCCTGGAGCTGCTCACGCGCAGTTAGAGTGGAAAGACGTCCTCCCAGAACAAGAGAACCTCCTTGCGCCCGTCATTTCCTTATATGGCGGGCGGAAGGCGGTTAAAGACCTGACATCTCTACAATGATCACAAATATTTTGTTTTTCCATTGGTTACTAAAGTTCTAGTTTTAAAGCAGTATTAAACCCAAAACCAAAAACGTAATACATTGCAGCTTACCAATCATTAGGTATGGGGGCTGTATTAGTTTTCCTTTTTTTTAGGCTTTCCCCCTGTTTTGCCCTGATGATCTGACAAATGTCAGGAGCATGTAACGCTCCTAACCCATGGTAGCTGCTGGTCTCATTCCGGCATCCTGGTTTTGGCTAAGCTGCACTTTTCCTGTCCAACTGTACGCATGCAGAGCGATTGCTAGACACAGACTCTGGATGGTGTTAAAACCTGTTTTAAGTCTGCCAAGTCCTCAGTTGTGATAGTGTTTACAGGACGTGCTTCAAACTCCCTGTTTCCCTGCCTTGTCCTTCATCTTCGCCCGAGCCCTGCTAACTCATTTGAATTACCTTGTTATTGACCTTGGATTGGACTTTAAACTATGCTCTGAACTTAGTTCAATGCTGCCAGCCCTGAACCCAGACTGACACTGACCATTCTGTATGTCTGAAATAATGGAGTCACCAATCATTGTAAATTGAAGATTTTCCAGCACAAAGTCATTTTTTTGGGACATTATTTTTATCTTTATTTTTTATTATTTTTTATTATTTTTATTTTTATATTTTATTTTTTGTTATTTATTTGCAGTTTAATTTTTTCATGCACATTAATTATTTGCATTAATTCAAAGTATAAGAATATTAGTATATAAGTTTATTCGTACACATCATTCTTAATTACTGAAATCTTTAAAATAGAGATCAAATTCAAATAATAATATATTGATTTTGAGGTTTGGGAGCGCAACACTATATATTTTATTTTTGCATTCTGTATGTCTGCCAACCGCAAGTAGCTGTTTGCTGTGCTCAATTTGCACCTGCTCCGGCATGGTAGCCAGGCACTATAGCATTTTCTTTAAGACCTTGGGGCAACTGAGTACTGGTAGGCCTGCTTGCCTTATGAGAAAGGGGGCTGCTTTAGGTGAAGAACACAGAAGCCAGCTATAATGCCTGACCACCAATGCCAGAGGTAGGCGTGACAATTTGGACAACAGCATTGTTAGTCTAGGGGGATGGCAGTGTTGGATGTACTAGCAGATTTAAATATAGTAACAAATTGAAGATGAACTCCAGCTAACACTTTATAATCAGTTACAGGAAACCCTTTTATGGATAAAGGTTTTACATAAATAAAAGCTGATCATTTTAAGCACCCCTGCCAGTGATAAATGGTCTGTCTCATCCCTGCAACTGCAAGAGAGATTTTCTGTTGAGAACCAACAAACTTACTGGCCAGATCACAGATGAAAATAGAATAAAGCAAGCTTAAAAAAAGGAAACTAATACAGCCACCCCATCTAAGAATGGGTAATAATTGTTTGCTTTTAAGTTTAATACTGCTTTAATCTAAATAACAAATTTGCATTTAATAATGTTGTATAAATTGCTGCTGAGGTACAGTATGTATAACACGGTTCACATCTCCTAACGGTCACTGAGTGGGCACACACTTAATGGCCTGTGTAGACTGGCTTTTGTTCACATCAAATGGGTTTTCGTTTCCACACAGGTCTATGGGAATGCAAAACCTGCTTGAAGCAGGTGAAATGAAGGTCAGAAGGTGCTAATCTGCAGGTGAAATGCACCTGCCAATGAATTCTGAATGATCTCAGAAATGTCTCAAGCAGATGTCAAACTGATACAACTGACACAAATCTTAAGGTTACAGAGCAAAGAAACCTGAATAAAAAATCCTTATGTTGCTGATCAGATAAAATGTCAACAGTGGCTATGGGCACTCATTTGCAAATGTAATAAAACAGAACTGAAACAAAAATATAAACCCATACCTCTCCATCTGTGCCACCTGGCACAAAATCTTCTGCTGCTATAGTGGCAATGGCAGACATGACAGGCTGTGGGTCTCCCAGTGCATACAGTAAAATATTTGTAATCATGGTGCACATAGTATTCTGTAAAACCAAGTCTTTTATGTTCTCCCCAAGATATTTTAGCAAGGGTCCTGATATAGCGTCTAGTAGTTCTCTATGCCTCATGTCGGGATCCTTTTTGCTGTAAAGAGAAAGGGACATCAATAGTGTAACCTGACTGTTTAATAAAATATAGAGGACCACAAGATCAGTTATTAGAACTGGTAAATGAGAGTCCAGCCCAAAGCAACTAGTGACATACTTTATTTTCAACTGTGCACTGAATGTGCTACCTGGTACCTAATTGTTCACCATTATAACAATTTTCTTATTCCCATTTTCTATATAGATGGGGGGCACAGTCACAGATGGGGCATTGTCCTGCGTGAGTGCATTTTCTGCTGGAGTGCGAAACAGCAGTTGAACACAGCAGTTTAACTAAAGCAGCAAGAAGATACAACAAAGAACACTACTGCACTCTGGATGGACTGCAGGTAAAACATCTTGGGAAACATCGCCTACAAGTCTGATTCCCACTCTATCTACCTTTAATATGCATCCCCCCCCCACTACTCCTTTTCATATTACTATCCTCTGTTCTCAAAATCTCATTTCTTTACCCCTCTGCTCCACCCCAAAGCTTATACATGTCACCCTCACTTCTACCATCTCCCTACTACTGCTCTCATCACCTCCTGCTGATACTTAACTCACCTGCTGACCCAAACACCAGGACTGGAAGGCATGTGCACTCTTACACATCCCGCTCCCATCTTACTTTCCTCACCCTCCTTTTTCTCCTAACCTCTGGGGATATCTCCCCGAACCCTGGTCCTCCAGTATCTCACCCCCACACCAGGCACCCACCTTCCTCCAGGAATAGCCACAATCCACTCTGTTTAATCTCAATCCCCATGCTCTTAAAAACCACCCTCAGAAAGGAGGTGGAGTTGGCTTGCTTCTATCCCCACTGAGCACCTTTCAAGTCCTCCCTAACCCTCCCTCTCTATCTTTCTCTTCTTTTGAGACTCACTGCATTTGGCTGTTTTCTCCTATTTCTCTGAGGATTGCAGTGATCTATCGTCCTCCTGGACAGGTGTCTCGCTTTCTTGATGACTTCTCTGCCAGGCTACCCCTACTTTCTCTCCTCTGAAATACCCACTATCATTCTTGGAGATTTTAACATCCCCATCAATGTGAACAACCTGGCTACATCCCAACTCTTCAACCTAACCTCATCTTTTGCCTTAACACAAGGGATACAGTCCTCCACTCACTCTGATGGGAATACATTAGACCTGGTTTTCTCCCATCTCTGCACTCTCTACAACAAACTCACAAACACCCCCTTTCCTCTCTCTGATCACAATCTCATCATCTTCACAAAATCCTCATCTTCAAACACCTTTCCCTCCAAGCAGAAAACAATTACCCGTAGAAACCTTCACAACTTTAACCATTCTCTTTTCTACTCTGCAACTGACCACCTCTATGCCAGATTCTCTCTCTTGTCCTGCCCTGACCTGACCACTTCTGTCTACAACAGTTTACTCTCATCCACACTATACTCACTTGCTCCTCTAACTACATAAAGTATCAGGCCCCGACCATTACAACCTTGGCAGACTAAGGACACCAGAAATCTTAAGAGACACAGCTGTGCAATGGAGCAGTTGTAGCATAAACCCAAATCCCACCAAGCATTCACCCTATACAAATCTGCTTTCTTAAAATACAATTCCTCCATCCATGCTGCCAAACAAGCCTACTTTGTCACTTTTATTTAACCTCCCTAGCGGTATGATTATGTCCATATTTCTGTGCTGAAAGCGGTAATTTATTTTGCATGGAAATATGTTGTTTATTTATTGTAGGCCTGTAATTTTTAGGAATAACTCACTGAAAACTGTAAACATCCCGTGTATAATAAAACTTGAAACACGAAATCATAAATTATAAATATAATAAATAATCATAAATAATGATAACATAATAATAATAAAATTCAATAATATAATCAAACCAAAAACACTGAAAATTTGAAATATAGCACCAAGTTTGCACATCGCTGAGCTCAGTCGCAGAATCGTTTTCAGTGTCTGATGACAAATTTCCCCACAAGTCATTATCACTCAATTCTGCAAGTGGTTCTGATTTACTATCGCTGTATTCTAGCTCGTCTAAAACCGCTTTTGACCTAAAAGGGACGCTTTTTGGACGCCATGGACATTTCTCAGTTTCCAGGCAGAAAGAACTGTAAAAATGCAGGCAGGGCACAGGACAAAGCACTAGGGACAAAATGTATGTGAAATGCTTTGAAACAGTAATGTTTTACTATGTTATTTTAGTGTATTTTGTGAATGTTAGTTTTTAAAATTTTCAAATCTCCCACCGGTTCCGGCCCCCGTACGTCCCAACGCTCGCAGGGACCGGAACCCGGAATGGACCGGAACCCGGAATCGGCCGGAGGAGACGGCTGGAGATGCTGCAGGGGAGACATCGCGGGAGCGCAGGGCAAGGTAAGTGCTGCAGGGAATCCCTTAGCAACGCTGCATGGTATTTCCGAGTGTAGATTGGGATTACCGCTTTTGGTTCTGAAACTTTACCCCGAGCTACACTCGGGAATACCGCCAGGGAGGTTAATACCTTTTCATCGTCGTCTCTTCTCTACTTTCAACTCTCTACTTTCTCCAGCTCCACCCAGTAACTCACTCATTGCTTATGAGATTGGCAATCATTTCAAAAACAAGATTGATGCAATTCATAGAGGCATCTCCACTACACAGACATCTATCCCACTTAGCATACCTTATACTAAACCTCCCTCAACACTTTTCTCTTTTGACCTTGCTACTACTGAAGAGGTCACTAAAGTTTTCTGAGAAGCTCATCTCACCACCTGCTCCATGGATCCTGTTCCCTCACAACTACTATGGTCACTCTCTTCTTCAAACCTTTGCTGCCTCACTCACATCTTCAATCTCTCCCTCTCTACTGGCACCTTCCTTTCCCCTCTAAAGCATGCACAGATCACTCCCATTCTTGAAAAGTCCTCACTGGACCCAACTAATCTGAACTTAAGACCCATCCTCCCTGCTCCCGTTTACCTCTACACTCTTAGAACACTTAGTCTACAATCACCTGAGCTCCTACCTCACGGACAACAACCTTCTTGACACTTTACAGTCTGGCTTTCACTCACTACACAAACTGCCCTGCTAAAACTCACTAATGATTTACTAACTGCTAAAATCAATGGCCACTACTCCATACTCTTACTACTTGACCTCTCTGTGGCTTTTGATACTGTTGACCATCCCCTCCTCCTCAAAAAAAACTCCACTCTCTTGGCCTCTGAGACTCTGCTCTCTCCTGGTTCTCCTCCTACTTATTGCAGCGCTCCTTCAGTGTTACCTACAACTCTGTCTACTCCTCTCCACTTCCTCTTTCTGTAGGGGTCCCTCAAGGTTCTGTCCTTGTACGCCTTCTCTTTTCCATCTACGGCTCCTCCCTTGGTCACTTGATAAACTTCCATGGCTTTAAGTACCATCTCTATGCTGACGACGCACACATCTATCTTTCTACTCCTCACCTCATGCCTTCAGTCTCCTCTCGCATTACTAACCTACTAAGTGACATATCAGCATGGATCTCACTCCACTTCCTCAAACTAAATCTTTCTAAAATGGAGCTCATACTATTCCCTCCAGCCCGTGCCCCCTCCCCTGACTTCTCCATCAATATCAATAATACAAACATCAGTCCCTCCCCTCATGCTAGGGTACTAGGTGGAATCCTGGACTCCCATCTGTACTTTCAGCCCCAAATCCAATCACTGTCTAAATCCTGTAGACTTCACCTCTGCAACATCTCCAAGATACGTCCAGTTTCAACCACCGAAACCACTAAGCAATGTATTCACTCCCTTGTTATCACTCACCTTGACTATTTTAACTCCCTCCTCATTGGCCTACCTAATTGCAGGCTATCCCCTCTTCAGTCTATCATGAATTGTACTGCCAGACTCATCCACCTTACCAACCATTCCATATCTGCCATCCCTCTCTGCCAATCCCTCCACTGGCTTTCCATTGCCCAACAAATAAAATTCTAAACATAGAAAGCCATTTATAACTCTGTCCCAAGTTATATCACCAATTTTGTCTCCAAATATCACCCAAATCTTCCTCTCCACTCCTCCCATGACCTCCTGCTCTCTAGCTCCCTTGTCTCCTCCTCCCATGCTAGTCTCCAGGACTTCTCCAAAGCCTCCCCCATCCTCTGGAACTCTCTACCCCAATTTATCCGACTATCGCCTACTCTGCCCACTTTTCGGAGAGCTCTGAAAACCTCTCTTCAGGGAAGCATATCCTGCCTTCAGCTAATAACCGAATCTTCTATTTCTCCTATCAGTTCATCCCCCACAGTTATTAACTTTTGTACCACCAGCCCCTCCCTCTTAGATTGTAAAGAGGGAAGGGCCCTCCTAATCCTCCTGTATTAAACTGTATTTTTGCTGTATTGTCTCCTTAATATTGTAAATTACTGAGCAAACTGTTGGTGCTATATAAATCCTGTTTAACCTCCTTGGCGGTATTCCCGAGTGTAGCTCGGGGTAGAATTTCTATACCAAGAACGGTAACCCCAAGCTACACTCGGGCTTACCATGCAGCGTTCTCTGGGGGTCCCTGCAGCACTTACCTTGTCCTTCGCTCCCACGATGGGTCCCCTGCACCGTCCCCGTCCATCTCCTCCGGCGGATGCCGGCATCTGGCTTCCGTGTTCCGGTCCCTGTGACGTCGGAACGTTCGGGCGGCGGAACCGGCGGGAAATTTGAAATTTTTAAAAAATTACATTTTTGCTGTCATTGCTTTTTCACTGCATTTCACATACATTTTGTCCCCACTGCTTTGTCCTGTGCCCTGCCTGCATTTTGACTGTTCTTTCTGCCTGGAAACTTAGAAAAGTCCATGGCGGCCAAAAAGCATCCCTTTACGTCAAAAGCGGTTTTAGAACAGCGATAGTAAATCAGAACCACTTGCAGAATTGAGTGATGATTTGTGGGGAAATTCGTCATCAGACACTGAAAACGATTTTGCGGCTTTGCTCAGCGATGTGCGAATTTGCCTCTGTATTTCAAATTTCAGTGTTTTTGGTTTGATTATATTATTGAATTAAATTTATTATTATTATATTATTATTTTTATGATTATTTATTAAATTATAATTTATGATTTCGTGTTTCAAGTTTTATCATATCCGGAATGTTTAATAGACTCTTTTTCGGATAGATTTCAGTGAGTTATTCCTAAAAATTACAGCCTACAATAAAAAACTACATATTTCGATGCAAAAAAATGGTACCGCTTTTTGGTACAAAATTCCTGACATAATCATACCGCCAGGGAGGTTAATAATAAATAATATATAAATTAAACACAGCATAAAAGTGGCAGTAAAAACAAAAAATGTATATATTACAGGTTTTTTTTAAATTTTTTTTTTTATTTTCACCTGGTGATTTGGTCAGTACACACAGATAGAAATTCAACCGTTTCAGCAGAAACCAGTGAGATTTCAATCCATGTGTATCCCTCTTTGTTCAACAGAAGCCTGTCATTATACTGGCTTCTGTTGAACAGTCCTGCTGGAAAAACAGCATTTGATCAGCTGCTGTAACCTTTGGCTGAGCAGTGTACTGATAGGAATACATTTTTTTTCAATGCATGAAACTTTTATTAAATCGAACTTAGAGCCTTTCCACTTGTAAAAGTTTTGTGGTGGGACCTGTCCTGCTCTTTTGTCTCCCAGGTGACTAGTAAAGGGTTATACTTATATAAATAAAGAACCAGCGCCACAGAAATTATATAAAACAGTAAGCTGCAAAACCTAGCCTATAAACTTATAGGATATACAAAACTTCAAAAAAATAAGTTGTGCTTAAATACATACAAAAGTGTAACAAGAAAATAAACAAAACAAGAAACAATATTTTAAATTAAAATAAAAACCAGCAAAAACAAAAAAGTCCAAAAGTTCAAATAATCAATAATGTCCAAAATAATTCATCACCAAGTAAATCCACCACCAAAAATGGTTAAATAGAACTCACCAGAGTAATATGCTGATTGTTGAAAAACCAGCATATAGTACTAATTCTGGGAGAAATGAATAATATGGTGACAACACTGAAGAAATGAGGGAGAAACATGCACATGCTCCAGGAGGACGTCGATGACGAAAAGCTTAGGGCGGTGCCTTTGGATGTGAGGTTCAGAATACTCCTGGTTTGTCTGCAGGTAGCATGTGCATATTTGGCTGGGTCTGAGTCACCTGTATTCATTACACATGCTGTTTATACTGGTGTCAGTCTGGACACCTTGCTTGTAAGTGCATTTCTTCATTAAAGTTTGATGCTTTTTAAAAAACATACTGCACCATGATTGTTCGCTTTTTTCTTTTGAGTGAAGGTCTGATCATCTCTCAGTTTGGATACTAAATCACCTTTGGAGTGGATTTTCAACTTTGCAGCACATCATCTGTTGGAGTTCATCCCTCATTTCTTCAGTTTTGTTTTCACCATATTATTCATTTCTCCCAGAATAACAAGTACTATATGCTTGTTTTTCAACAATCAGCATATTACTCTGGTGAGTTCTATTTAACCATTTTTGGTGGTGGATTTATTTGGTGATGAATTATTTTGGACATTATTGATTATTTGAACTTTTGGACTTTCGTTTTTGCTGGATTTTATTTTGATTTAAAATATTGTTTCTTATTGTTTTGTTATTTATTTTCTTGTTACACTTTTGTATGTATTTAAGCGCAACCTATTTTTTTAAAGGGTTATACTGCAGCCTTGAAAAGAGAATTAAGAGCATAAAATGGATGGATAATCTAAAAATTAACTACTACAACACAATTAGAAACTACTTTCAGAACACATGCAAGATAAGGCTGAGGAATCTCAGTCTCAATAAGTCAAAGCATTAGTCATAATGCTGAATACAATAAGTACAAGTACATACAAATTAAATATTAATTTTCAATTAAAAAATAAAATAGTGTGACATTAAGCAGGCCAGCGTGGGGGGGGGGGGGGCGGTGGAGCAGCATGTGCTTGTGCTCAAATGATGCATCACTTGTATATGCTTTCCACTGAGAACTATGCGCTGTAAAGAATCAGCATGAGGAACAGAGAATTGTCTTTTTCTGTGCTGGTAAGTCACCACTCATATAGCTAAAATCTCTGAAATCTGCAGAATGGCACAAGTTCACATAAAATTAATCAACTGGGACAGTTATGTCAGTGACACAGGCTGGCCACCATGATACAGTGACATCAAATTCTGTCTTGTGAATTATATGTCAATACATTTTACTAAAATATCAAAGGTCTAAAAAGCAAACAATATAAGCTTCTAACAGTTATCAAAAGAGAAAAAACATATTTGCAATTTGAAAGCAGCACAAGATCAAACTAAAAGGTAAATGTCAATCAAACTAAAGAATTCAGAATTAAAAAAAAAATAAAAAAAATTATAGGATTGGCGACTTGCTCAGACCTTATGATTCTTATCATGGTGGCCATATTCCACTGTGTAAAGTATTCTGTTTGTTCACAGTCTGGTACTCTGAAAATACCTACTACTGATCCTGTGACACGGCAAACACTGAAGGGTCATTTGAAAGTTGTTTTTATTTCATTAAAATGAGTGGTTGAACCATACTAACAACATTAGTTTTTTCTTCAAAGTTCACCTTTTGGGACGGTGAGCCTTTTAATGTGTGGTAAAAGTGTGTTAATATGTGTTAGCAATATGGTTTGCACATGAGTTTTGAGAGGCAACCCATTTACTTTCAATAGGTTTCAAACAAGTTAATGAAGTGAACAATACACCTGAGTAAAAAAGAAATCTCAGACAGCAACACTCCAACTTGATCCTCTTTATTAAAATATGAAAAAATCCAAAAGGCAGGACAACATACAGTGGGGGAAATATGAGCAAGGTTGATGTGTTTGGTGAGTTAGCGCTTATTCATAACCTCCAGGGCCTATAGGAAATGAATGGGTTAACACAATAAAAAGGCATGTGCACAGGTGTTAGGGAACAGGGCATGGCCCTTCACACCTAGGTGAGCACTTCAATTGTGTTGGTCTTTGATTATAGAGGTACAAGTGTTTAGATTTTGCACTAGGCATATGCTATGCATTGAAAGAAAAAAAAAAAGAAAAAAAAGAATCCCAAATATAAGTGTAGGACCTAATAATATTTATTATACAAATTCTTAAAACGATGTCAACCTTACCTGTGTGCGTTACAATCTCCTTGTTTGAGCACTTCAATTATCTCTGGTAGAAAATGTGAAGTACTTCGTCTGCATAGCAAATAGAGCAGCACTTTTCTTCCATACTTGTCATTGATTATATTGGGCAAAGCACTAACCAGTTCCTGTGTAATTACAATACATTTTCAGTAAATACTACATTCACAATGTAATTCCTTGACACTTTCTATGCTCTATGTATACCAAACAACATTAATATCCAAGATTCTATAGCTTTTCTACACAAAAATGCGGTCTGTTTAGCTGCTGCTGGCAAAGCAAATTATCTCAATGTATTTCTCCAATGCTATAATTAAATATGAATCTGGTAAGGTGCTCCTGAATTTTTCTCAATCAGTGCCTTGCCTGTGAACAAACTAACAGATGCTTTACAAAGCAGCAAAAATTAAAAAAATAAACAGCACACTGGGAAAAGTAACAATTTATTCTGGAGTTATTATTCAAAGGCTCGAGATAATACACCTGACTTACCTGTGATTTGTTTTTCTAACTTATTTTTATACCTTGCTCTGTTAATATTAAAACTTTTTTTTTTGGTAATTTAACATGACTCAAGTCCATAAACAAACCTATATAGTTTAGGAACTGAATGCACACAGGACGTTAAAAGAACTCTTCTAGAAGCTGTCTTTCTGGCAGCAGCGTTTTTGCAGAAAAAACACCTGACGCTTGTAAAAGTATCTAACATTTTTACAAGCGTTTAGGCATGTTTACAAATGTCAAGCGCTTGACTATAAATTCATTTAATTGGCCATAATGATAATTTATTCTGGCCATTGAAATTAATTAATGCTGAAGCGCTAAACGCACCTAGAGTTTAGACGCATTTAGGCGTGTCAAGCGTTTTTTTCGGACAAAACGCTGCTTCTCCTGGACGCACTGGCCCTGAGTTTGTTTCTCCTGCTGGTAACTTCTACTAAAAGCTTCTAAAAGTTTATGTGTGCATAGACACATAGGAGAACATAGAGGGCCATTTGAAAGCCATAAAAAAAAAAACAACAAAAAAAAAACACGTGATGCTCCTAAAAGTGGCTGCAAAAACATTTCCATGAGGCCTAAACAGGGAGCAGCTAGCTGTATAATGCTCAGCATGTGTCACAGTTGGCAGGTCCCCACTGCTCGATGTCTGAATGAAGTATCTCCACTTTAGGCCACCAGCCCAACATGGCCCCTACCTCCCAGTCCAGTCCTCCCCTTCCAGCCGGACTGACAGTAGGGTAAAGGATTGGTATCAAGAATTGTATATTACCATTACAGGTGATTTGATTTTCAATACAAAAGGTCTGTGTCATGAAGCACAGGTAAATTGAAAAAGCCCCACAAAATTACCTTTTACACATCTAAAGCCTACTTATTATTAGTTGAAATAATGAGTAATGGTAATTCTGAACAATTCAGATTAAGGTCTAGAGGCCCATAATTTGTACCAGGAAAGACTTTTGTTCGGCCAAGTCTCATTTGCTATGATGTTCAGATTACAGGATTTGGCATATCATGTAGCCTGTAGATTTACAAATCTGCTTTACAGACACCTAAACAGCCTCCACCCAGGAAACCAAGACTGCTGCTCTACAAGGATTTTTGTAGCCAATCTCTTAGATTGTAAACTCTAACAAGCAGGGCCCTCTGTTTCCTCTTGTACCAAACTGTATTGTAACTGCAATGTCTACCTTCATTTTGTAAAGTGCCGCACAAACTGTTGGTGCTATATAAATTCTGTTTAGTAATAATAATAATCACATCACAACAGAAACAGATATTTTGTTTGATCTGTCCTGCAGTTGTGCTTTTTGTAGCTTTTAAACCTTTGTACACGTCTTGAAATTGAGAAAATTAGTTATTCATGATTCTTTGATAGCTTTAAATACATTAACCACTTGAGGATTTTGAACATAAAGAGAGGTCTTTAAAAATTCAACAATGTTTTTAAGATGCATCTCTTATTTACAGCACCTCCTCCCCACCACTGTTACCAGCAATTGGTAGCTGTCAATATGCAGAAGCTTATGTGTAAAATGACAGTAAAAAAATGTATATATGTAGGTGCCAAAACAAACCAAAGCTCAATGAAGAAAATGACCACAAAGTACTAGTGCTGCTAGCAAAAACCTAGGAGTGTATATGGAATAATAAAATAAAAAAGGCACGCACACACAGTCTGATGGTATATCTATATAAAGTCCCATGTATGATTCAGTAATGTTTTAAACCAACCATTGGGCTATGTCTTCTAGTGGTAATATGGATAATTTCACATCAACATCCTGAACACTTGTAAGGGGTTGGTACCAGGGATGATAACCTATAAATCGAGGTCTCTCCAAGGGGAGAAAAGTATGCCTAATCCCAGAAACACAGTAGGTGCCAAAAAACAATCCAGAAAATTAAAGACATGCTGCAAAAATGATGTGCAATGATGCCCCTTTATTAAAGGCAATCCAGTAAAAAAAATCTGCTTACAATAACAAAGACTGATGTAGTGATGGAACTGCTGTAACCTTTATTGTGGGTAATCAAAAAAAGGAAGACACCCATGGCAGAGCCGCCACAGAATTAAGAGTGGAAAATCCACTGCAACTGGACAAAAAGTATGCACTAACCAGCGCTTCTTTTTCAAGTCCAGAGAAACTTGAGAAAGAGACAGAGACCTCGAAAAAACGCATTGTCGTGGAAAAGGTGTGTGATGCTCTTGATCAACCAGAAGTGTCTGGTATGATGGCAGTCTGACTTCTGTTCTGGTCCTTACCACCAGTTGTTGTTCGATTACAACAGCATTTACACTTTCACCTTAAAAGCCCCCCTTTTATTTTTATAAAATGTATTTCTATTTATTAACCCTTATTAATGCTTAGGTATTTCAAATTAGCTTTTTCCTCCCCTTCTCTCCTTACCTTTTTTTTCTGCCAATTTCTTTTTTTTTTTTTAAATATTCATTTTGTTGATTATTTTCAGTGTTGCATAACAAGAAAATGCACAAAAATAGGAAAAAAAAAAAAAAACCCACAAAAAAACAAAACTTTGTGATTTGCAAATAAATTTCTATAACACAACATGCAGGGTTCTTCAGTGTGGCTGTGCAGGGCTAAGCTTGTACAGCCGCATCATTCATTCACAGAGACCTGTGAATAAAACTACAAGTCCCATCTTCCACCATGGCAGATTGACTTGTAGTTCTCAATTAAACATAAAAGTTTAGTAATCACCACAACTGTATTCATGGACACTTCCTTCACCCCTTCAACTGAAAGTCCATAGCTCTGTATGGGCAGGGGGCTAAGGGAAGAGTCTGCAGGAGTCAGACAATGCAACCACGATCCACTGATTGCAGGTGCAAGGCTTTGCAGGCTCTTGTGAAAATGTATAATAAATTCACATTTTGTCCAGCAAAAACATGCATTAATTATTACTTTTTAAAGGCAAACGTAGCCTTTAAATAATGACAAAGTTATCACCAAATGAACATATCCACAGTGAAAATGTAAAAACTGCTCTGGTCTATAAGGGGTATACAGGTACAAAAGTTTAAGAGTTGATTCACACACATGCAGGGCAGATTTAAGCTCAGGTTTCACAGCTAATTGACACAGTAGTTGTTCAGCGGTTCAGGTTAGGTTTACATCAGGTTCAGGCCAGGATTTTATTCTGTTCACACATGTGCGGTTTAGCAACGGTTCCCATATAAATCAATAGCCTGTAATCCGCACCTGAATCGGACCGCACTGCTCAAAAATCGGACAGCACTCTTCAATCCGCACTGCCAGTGTAACATACATATGTGAACAGGCACCATAGGAAGCAATGTTATTTTACATGTCATGCAGATTGGAAGCGGTTCAAACTGCATCTAATCCACATATAAGTGAAGCAGCACTTAGTGGTTAAGATAAACTCTGTTTTTGAAGATTCTGAAAATTTCAAGTCATGTGAAAATCTGAAACCATTTTTTCCTTGCAGTTAACCCCTAATGGAAAGCCCTGAATATCTGCTAATTTTTTTGTTCCTGTATGTGTCTCTAAGGAAAATAATGGCTGAGTGGTGGGGGAAGGGTTAGAACCCGAATTAACTTCACTTCCTGTCTAGGTGTCAGTTTCAAGATAGGAAACCTTTATTACATTCTGTGCATGCCTTCTTTCTGAACTTTGCTCAGGGAAGTCCCAAATTAAAGTCTTGACATTTCTGCTTGCTTTGTATTTTAATTTTTTTAAAGACAGTGTTAGAAAAAAATGTTTTGGGAAGACTCAGAGCTGCTCTGGAGGTGCACTCTATGTCTATATACAAAGAATAAGCGGGTTACATTTTTATCAACGATAAACATTTTACTTTACAGTTAATACAATAAGACTTTTGAACAGTGTACTGCTGAAATGTACAGATTTTCCTAACCTCAGCCAGGCCTTGCAATTCTCAATCATTAACCACTGACCCATCTTCACTGATCAGATCATGCATACTTCTGCTAATCCTTCTACGATCTGCATCTCTTCAACCATCTTTATTCAGCATTGCACCAGCATTGCGATATGCTGTTCACTGGTGCAATGCGTTACAGGCTCCTAACACAAAAAAATAATAAATGCACATTTTTTTTTTTGACCTGCAAAAAAAAAAAAAAAAAAGTGCATTTATTATTTTTTGTGGAAAGGTGAACTTATCCTTTAAGCACGGTGCTACTTTACCTGGCAATTTCTCATCCATGCAACACTGTACCCAAATGAAATTTATAGCATTTTTTTTCACACAAATAGAGCTTTCTTTTGGTAGTATTTGATCACAATTGGGTTTTTTATTTTTTATTATATATATATATATATATATATATATATATATATATATAAAAAAGACAATTCTGAAAAAAAAATATATATTTTCTACTTTCTGTTAGAAAACATAACCACTAAAAAAAAAAAATCTTCATAAATTTAGGCCAAAATGTATTCTGCTACAGGTCTTTGATAAAAAGCAAAAACTCAATAAGTATATATCAGTTGGTTTGTGTGAAATCTGTAGCATCTACAAACAAATGTTATTTATATACTGGAATTTATGCAACTTTAATGTTACGCTGGTAATTGCAGTGAACGGCGACATAAACTGGGACTATGAT